ATTAATGAGAGGATGATACTGGAGGAGAGGAGGGAGGGAAGGAAGAAAAACTGCTGTCCGTGATACCTGTCCTTTGGCAGGCCAGGTCATTGGCAAACCCTTAGCAATAACCTATTTCCTTTTGGTGTAATTGCAAAGTAATCATGTGGTGTGGGTTGTGTAGTAATCATGCTGATTAATTACACTCAGGTAGTAATTAAACATCTGCTTCGTCATCTTGTGGGGCTTGAAGCTTCACACACACACACGTATGCATACACACATACACACGCGCATGCATGTCCATGCCTCCGTGCTCATTCATGTGTGTGTGCATGCGTGCATGCGTGTGTGTTGCACACAGCCTGGCTGTTAGGAGGGCCTGGCTTCACCGGGGATGTAGGGAGGGCCTGGCCTGGACTTGAGGGCACCAGCACCCCAGGCTGTGTCTCCTTCCTGGCTGAGCTGGCCGGCCACGCCCGGTGGACACAGGGTCCCCAGGGCTCCGCCTACACACCTTGTCCTCTGTCCCCTCCTGGACCCTTGCCGCTGCGTTTGGCTTTGCGGGTCCTTCCTCGGGAAAGCTCTGAGTCCCAGCAGCTGGGAGAGAAATTCTCGGTGTAGGAACCCACCCCCGTGCACCTGTTAGGCCTGGCTGGAGTGACGTCATCACAGGGGCTGCGGAGACCAGAGCCAGGTGTTGTGCTGGACTCAGGGGCCCTGGCTCGGGCCTGGATCCCAGCCTTGCTGTGTGGTGTTGGGCGAGCTGCTGTCCTTCTCTGTTTATCTGCTTCCAGGCCTGTAAAACAGAGGGCTGAGCCGGGAGGCCCCCGGGGGCCATTCCAGGTCTGCAGTGCCAGGTTGTAATTTGGTTTGTTCTAATTAGGAATCGGAGACGAGTTACGTTCACTACATATGATCCTCAGCAAATAAACAGTCGGAAATAATTCCTTCTTTATGACTTCCCGAAGACGTACTCGGGAGCAGTGAGAACCCAGCGAAAATCAATAGCTTTTATTTTTTCAGACCAAGAGACTGCAGCTTCCTTGAGCTGCTGGGCACTGCAATTCATTCTTGCATTTTAAAATTTTATGTGCGTGTTTATCGACTGCTGTTAGGTGACAGGGATCCGTCCCGAAGGCTGATTTTTTTTCATTAGCTTAACTCATTTTACTCATTAGTTCACATCCATAGCATGGGTTTAACAAGCACACCGCGTACAAGCCGTAAAACAGTCTTTTGCCGTGGCGATGTTTGAAAGTCAAGACTCGGAGCTGTCCCACGGGCGTTTGCTCCTAACTTGCTTTGCTTCCCCCACGAGGGCAGGGCCAGGCCGGCCACTTCCGCTTGGCCTTGAGCTTCAGAGTTCTCCCTTGTAAGGGGGAAGGCGTCACGAGTTCGTGACAGTAGACAAAAATGACAGAAAGCCGGCACACCGCAGTCACGCCTGGGGCCCGAGTGCGCCTCGTTTATAATCTGCTTTGGGGTCCCCCGTGCCTGTCCGGTGACCTTATTTTCCCCATTTTATAGGGGAGGAACCTGAGGCCCTGAGGGATTAGATGGGCATGGCCACCACGGGGAGCAGTGGCTGAGCTGGTGTGCAGACTCAGTGCATCTGCCCCTCCCCCCGATCCCCCCCCCCCCCCCGTCATCTCTTCAGCCCCACCCTCTCTTCCAGGTCCCTTTGCCAGGGCCCCTTGCTGGTTTTCAGCAGCCTGCACACCCCTCTGCTCTGTGACCTTCCGTGGCTCCCCAGTGCCGGGGGGTAAAGTTCATCATCCTGGACTTGGCATTCAACAACCTTAACCATCGGCTCTTGCTCTGCCATCTCACCCTGATTCCCACTGTGGCCCAGCAGGCGGCCCGGGCTCGTGGTCTTGCACAGGCCTCCCACACCTGGGCGTCTGTGTGCCTGTGCTCACCCTGGCCGCTCTGCCCAAAGTGCCTTCCTCCCATCTCCACGCAGCCAAAGTTTCCCCTCCCTCCACGGCCCTTTTCTCCTCTGAACTCATGGCTGGTGGGCGGGGAGCCCCTCCTTGGCCACCTTGAACTTGACTTCTCCCACCGAAACATGAGACCTTTGAAAGCATTCTTTGTGCTCTCCACCCAGCTGCCCGTGGAGTCCAGGTATACAGCAGGCGCTAGATTAATGCTTTCCAAAGAGCGACTGCTCATGTTCTTTGTGGTCTCCAGGATGGAGCTCTTGTGTTGAGTTCAAGACCAGCCCACTACAAATCCAGGAGATTTCGTGGCTCAAGTCCCACCTACTTCCCCCACTCCGCCTCCCCTCCCTGCTGGCTTCCCATGTCTTCCTGTGAGCATCCCGTTTCTTCAAAAGAAAACCATCTTCCTCTCTCCTCCCACCCCTTCATGCGCACCTGGGGCCTCAGTGACTTGGCTCGCTGCTCGGGAATGGCCCGCTGCTTCTCGCGAAGGGACTGCAGCTGTGACGTTCGCAGGGCGAAACAGCGAAGAAAGCAAGACACACACGTGCTGGGCACCACTCTGCCTCTGAGCGCCAGGCTCCCGGGTTTTGCAGATGGGGAAACTGAGGCAGAAGGGGGGGACCTCTGGAAAGGCATGGGCTGGATTATCAGTGCCCGTGCTGTTTTCTGGGTCATTTTGGCCCCTGGGATCAGAGCCACACCCTGCCAGCGGGCACAGCACTTTTCAGCTTGTACACACTCTCCCCGTGATGAGTCATCTCACGGGCTCGGTGAGGTTTCGCTGAGGCTCAGAGAGCTTGGTTGCCTGCCCGGATCACACAGCCAGCAGCTATGGTGGGCGGGGTCAGAGCGCAGGTCTGCCTGGGGCCGGCAGCCTGGGGGACCTCGCAGGACACAGTGTGGGGCCGCGCAGTGCTCCCTGGCAGTGGGGCAGTCTGCCCCCAGGGAGGGTGGGGCCCCAGGACAGGCCATGTGGCCACGTCCAACTCACAGCGCTCACAGCAACACACACCCTCACGTGCCAGATGTGCCCTCCCGAGCTTTGTGAGTCCGTGTCCCATTTTCAACAGTCCAGAGGGCAGCAGCTGACAGGGAACAAGCGCTCACCCTGGTACATCAACTACAGGTTCAAATCCAGTCTGGTTCCCTGCTGTGTGTCCACCGGTTCTGAGCCTCCATTTCTCATCTGTGCATGGGAGTTCAGAATAAATGAGGAAAGGCGAGTAAAGTACTGGGCACAAGGCTTTTCCATCTCATGTCCCACTCCTTGCTCTAGGTCCTAAATACTGCAGTACCCTACCCTCATCTCCACGCATGCATATCTGCCGCCTCCTCCAAGAAGCCTTCCTGCACCTGCTGGTGTGACTAGGGAAATGAGAGGAGGAGGAGGAGGAGCCTGCCACTCAGCCTCTCTTCCTGTGGGTTACCCTGAGAGATGGCGGCCGTGGACTGGGGCTTTCACAGATGGAGAGACCAAGACCCCATGCAGGCAAGGGTGTGCCCCAGTGCTCATAGCAAGCCAGTGGGATGCAGGGACCGGGACCCAGGACCCGCCTCTTAGGGGGAGCCACTGCCTTCCCTGAGCTGGTGATTGCGTAGGGGCTGGGGGTCCCAGTGTGTGTGTGCACTGGGCAGGGGAGGGGGCAGACAAGAGAGGGAGACACACCAGGGAGATGCTGATGGGCCCCAGAGAAGCTGCGGGACACACACAGGCTGGGGCTGGGGTCCCCGGAGCAGGGACGGGGGAGGTCCATGGTGACCCCGCGAGGATGGCACAGCTGCGCATCCTGCTGCTGGAGTCTCTGGCTTGTCACCTCTTCCCTGCAGCCGGGGGTTTGTTTCCTTTATCAGCCCCCTTTTGGAAGAATGCCACCACTCCTGGGGCCGCACACGCCCTCGCGCCCCTCCGGGTTCTCACGGTCTGGCTGCCTTCTGGCGTAACAGCCTGCAGAGAGCTGATGGCATTTGCATTCTGCTGGCTGGCGAAATGCCGGGCTGCACTTGGTGGCCCCGGGGCGGACGGGTGAGGGCCTCGCGGCGTGGAGGCCACGCTGGTCCCTGAAGGTGGTGGCAGAGGGAGGCAACAGCTCACAGGATGCAGAGACACTGCCGGGGACACACGGCCGCTGCCAGCCCGGGGCTCCCTTGCCCGGGCGTGCGTGCCTGCACACACACACCCACACACACTCATGCACTCATGCACACGCTCTCCTCTGAGCCACTCCCTAACGTTTTTGAGTAATGTCCACTGGAGAGGTGCCCCTGTGTCACAGATGAGGAGACTGATGCTGTGTGAGGTCCCCCGGGTGCCCCAGGGTCCGATTTCCAGGGCGACGCATTTCCAAAGCCCACATTCCTGGTCATGGTGGGCCGTAATTCTCTGTTGGACCCACAGCTGGGCGGAAGTGGCACACAGCCACACGCAGGCCTGCGGCTGCTCCCACAGTGTGCCCAAGGCTGCTCTAGTGGCTGCCAAGTTTGCCGAGCGCTAAGGAGGGTACAGCCTGGGAGCAAGCTGCAGCCATCAGTCACGAGAGTGCCCAAGGTTAGGTCTTATCCTGCCACGGACCTGCTGTGTGGCTTCGGGCCAGTCACTGCCCCTCTCTGGGCATCACTCTGGGGCCGTCGCTCTGGCTGCAAGGCGCTGTGTGGCATGAGAATGGATTTTCACACAAGCCAGGAGTTTTCTTCAATGGGCTCAGACTCTTGGAGCTCCCTCCCACTCACTCAGACAGATAAGATTACATTGTACGTCAAAGCCAATGGAAATGTTTGCAGCCTCCCCGCTCTGTAAAGGGCGCTGTGCGAGATGAGACGGGACGAGGGACGCGGTGGGCGTGATGCTTACGCACTTATACTCCAGACACACACACATCCAGGCTTGTGCGGGTTTTTGCATCTCGTGCTTATTTCCCAGCTGAGGTGGCCCCGGTCCCGCTGCGTACCCCAGCCCTGCATGTTGTGGGCGGGTTGGGGGGTGGGCGTTCTGCACGGGGAGAAGAGGGGGCAGGCAGAGGGCAGTGGGAGAGCTCCCCCACCAGGCAGTCACGGCTGGGTCTGCTCTGTCTCCCACAGGTGCACGGCTCTGGCGTGGCCTCCTGCTTCCGTGGTCAGCTCGCTTGGGGTCCTGGAATCTGACATCTAGAACTTGCCAGCGCCACAGACTCAGGTAAGGGAGGCTGGGTTTGTTTGGCTCGGGCATCTATGCCACTTTGGCTGTTGTCGGTGGTGAGAGCACCCCTCTGCGGGGCACCCAGTCACTCTCCGGCCCAGGCTGCTGTTTTGTTTCTTCTCTTCGTTAGCAGGAGAGCCCAGTGGTTAAGGCTCACAAGTCCAGCAGACCCGGGTTCAAGCCCCAGGACCACCAGTTTATCTGCTGTGTGACTCAGGCCAGGCTCCTCAACCTCTCTGTGTCACAGTACCCCTCTCTTGAGCTGGTGGTGGAGAGGAAGTGAGAGCGCATAGGAGTGATGCTTTGCCTAGAGCTGAGGACCCTGTAAATGGTGGGTGGATTCCATATTCATGACCGCCCGGAAGTTGGCTCCCTCTCGCCTTCCTGGCAGACCCCTGAACTAGAACATGGACTTGAGGAAGGCAGGGCTGTCACCTGGAATCCCCAGATTCCAACCTAGAAAGTGGCCCGTTATTTGGTGAGAGGATGAATGAATGAGTGAGTGAGAGTGAAGGTGCTTTCTCTATGGCGCACAGAATCTTAGCCCAATCCTCGGAGCACCTGTGCTAGTGAGGGGAGGGCGTGGCCCTAGGTGACAAAAAACCCAAGTGGCAGGTCCTCAACCAAGAGAGTGGGTGATGCTTCTCAGGTGTGATTCTGAGCTAAGTCCAGGCCTTCAGAAAAAGCACCCCAGGCCCGGAGTCCTTCCGCGCTGCGGCGCCACTGTCGTTGCTCTCGCTGCTCCTCCCTGGCCCGCCCTGATGTCTCCACGCTGGCCAGCAGGAGAGCAGACACCCGAAGGAGAAGGCGCGCCTTCTTTTTAAAGAGCTCAGCTCCCGCTGGGCAGATGTGTCACCTGGCAGCCCTAGCTGCAAGGAAGGCTGGGAACTGTCATCCTAAGTCTGGGTGGCCGTTGCCTTTTCTAGAATGTTCCATAGTTGGAGCCACAGGGTGTGTATGTGGCCTTCCAGACCGGCTCCTGTCACTTAGTGACGTGCCCAGAGCTTCCTCTGTGTCTTTCTGTGGTTTGAGAGCTCACTGCTTTTCATTGCTATATAATGTTCCCTCGGGTGTGCCCTACCTTGTTTTTCTGTTCCCTTCTTGATGGACGTCTGGGTTGCTTCCAATTTGGGACAGTGACAAACAAGCTGCTGTAAATGTTGGCGTGCGTGTTTCTGGGGTGGAGCTGTGTTTTCAGCTGATTTGGGGATATGCCGAGGGGCACGCGCCGCTGGGTTGGGTGGTGGGACTTGACGGAGCTCCTGGAGAACCTACCAGGCTCGCTTCCCAAGCGCCTCCCCGGTTTGGCATCCCACCTGCAGTGCATGGGCGTTCCTGCTGGCTCCACCTGCTCCCTGGCAAGGAGAGCCAATGGTTCTGTGGATTACAGTAGTAGGTGCGTGGGGGTTGGGTCCCCGTTTGGAAGCTGTCACAGTGGGTGCGAGATCTAGGAATGTTTTGTGGCCTGAGTGACACCACTCCCCCACCCCGGGACTGTACTCTCCCCTCCCATCTCCCTGACACTGGGAACCAAAGCTCTGGGGCGGCCCTGGAATTCTTTGTTTAGTACCAGGCATTTGTGGGGGCGGGGCATCAAGGAGTGGGGGCGGGGCATCAAGGAGTGGGGGCGGGGCATCAAGGAGAGGGGAGAAAGAATGAATCCAAGCCTGGGTTTCAGAGCCTCACCAGGCCTACTGAGACGCAGCCCTGGGAGGAGCTGAATGGCTGGAATCCTGGGGTGTGGACAGACCCAGGCTCCTGCCCCAGGCTCGGTCCCAGGCCCAGCAGGAGAAGGGAGGGGGCCGCTGTTCAGGGGTTAGAGGTCAAAGTTGGCCACCAGGGACCATGAGAGGCGGGGCAGGGGCTGAGTTGAAACTGGAGGCTGCAGCACTCGGCACCAGAACTCAAACCAGATTGAGCAAGACAGGCAATTTGTTTACTTTTTATTGGTTTCCAATAAAGTGGAATCTGGGCAGCGTTTATTGGAGTCCCAGGCGTACACGAGGGAGGCCCCTGGGACCCTGCCTCATCACACCTGTGCCTCTGCCTCCCTCCTGCCTTGGGGGCTCCCCTGTGGGGCAGCGGGGCAGGGACCAGCAGCTGCCCATTTCATTGGCAGGAGCGCAGCTTCTTCCCCAGGAGTTCCAACCCCAGTGTCAGAGTGGAGGCTCATTGGCTGCTTGTGGGTCACCTGACCGCCTCGGGCCAATCACTGGAACCCGGAAGAGAGAATATTCTGAATGGGCCGAGGAGGTCAGCGCTGGGTGGTGCTGGCAGACAGTGTGCCGTGGGTGGGGGAGGAGGGGCTTGACCTGTGTGTCTGGAAGGGGAGGGTCCCCACAGGCAGAGCTCAGATACCCTTGTTAGAAGGAGGAGAGCGATGCCTGGCAGAGCAGACAGAGCAGCAGGTGCTCCCTCATGGTGCTGTGGCGGGAGCTGGGGCCCGTGGTCTGATTTGGCCCTACATGGTTTATGATACCAGGGTGGGCCTCCTGGCAGGTGCCTGGTTTTTAGTGAATGTGGTATCTGAACTCTCTCCCTCCCCAACCTCGCACACGCACATGCACATGCACACATACCATACACACGATGTATGAAGCTACTTCCAAAAGTTCATGGAAAAATGAAATTAGAAGATAAGTTTGGGGGCCGGCGCTGTGATGTAGCGGGTAAAGCCACCACCTGCAGCGCTGGCATCCCATATGGGCACTGGTTCAAGTAACAACTGTTCCACTTCCATCCAGCTCTCTGCTATGGTCTGGGAAAGCAGTAGAAGATGGCCCAAGTCCTTGGGCCCCTGCACCCATGTGGGAGACCTGGAAGAGGCTCCAGCCATTGTGGCCATTTGGGGAGTGAACCAGCAGATGGAAGACCTCTCTCTCACTCTCTCACTCTCTCTCTCTGCCTTTCAAATGAATAAATAAATCTTTAAAAGAGAGAGAGAGAGAGCTGCTGGGGCCTCCCTAGGGTTTCTTTGCCCCTGATGGCCTCTCAGGAGACCTAGGGCCTCGGGCGGGCTCCCCTGGGCCCCTTCTTAGGGGACCAGCCGCAGCCTCGCCTCTCTGAAGCCCTGTGGAGGGAAGGGGAGGAGCAGGCGACAGCCTCTGATGACGCGGCTCTGTGTATCAGCCCCTACAGCGTCCACCATGGACACAGCAGCTCTGTTACACGTTCAGGTGCCCTGTGAGATTTCATTTGATGAAAGATGACTGTGCGGAGAAAAGTTGAAAAACTACAGCCTAGGAGGCTGTCTCCCAGGCAACCGTGGCCAAGTGCTGTTTAAGATCTGCCCCTGGCTTGGGTTTGGTCAACCACAAACCTCTTGGCCCTACACCAGTCTCTCTCCTTGCTCTCGCTCTTGATCTCACTCGCTCTCTCCTGCACGGTGTGGTGCAGGCTAACCCAGCATTCAGCACCTCCCTGCCCTCCGTGGCGTGCTCAGTACTTCTCGGTCAGTGCGTGTGCATTCACTGAGCACCTACTGGGTGCCAGGTGTGCGCATTCGCTGACTCAGCCAATGGCAGCTGAGCACCTGCTGTGTACCCGGCCATCTTTTAGATGCTGGGAACTGAGTCAGCAAAGCCCCGAGGCCCTGCCCTCCGCAGAGCTGCCTGTGGGTGCCAGATCCCCAGTCCCTCGCCGAGACTGGCTCAGCACCGCACCCTCATCGGGCCGCCTGGTGTTCACGGTTTGGCCGCTTTCCGGCCCTTTCTCAGAGCTCCGACCTGTGCCCAACACTGCAAAGAGTGGCATGGTGTGCTCCTCACCTCGCAGGACGGCCCCTGAGAGCCAGGAGGGCTCCCCGGTGGAGGTCTGTTGCAGACCTGGCCAGGAGCTGCACAGGTCAACCCAGAATCGTCCCAGGCTCTCTTGTTCTTTATTCATTGCACGCATGCAATAGGTGCCTTCGTGAGAGCCTCTCTATAGAGACCCTTCTTCCAAGGTCAAGAGTGGGAGGGTTCTGAGCAGGTGCGGAAAGGAAACTTTGGAGTTCAAAGGCCAGAGGGAGGCCATGGGGGTGGGGCTGGGCCTGGGAAACTGGCTTGGCTGCAGGGCAGGTGAGAGGAGGGCATTGCAGGAGGGCGGCACCGTGAGAGCTGGGCCTGAAGGCTGAGCCCTGAGCTGGGAAGACTGTGCTGGGCAGGACACAAGGCGCCGGGCATCATGGCACAGTGGGGTAAGCCGCCGCCTGCAAAGCCAGCATCCCATCAGGACTCTGGTTCACATCCCAGCTGCCCCGCGTCTGATCCAGCTCTCTGCTAATGTGCCTGGGAGACAGACTTCTGGAATTCCTCTGTGGGAGGAATCCTGGGTAGAGTCTTGGGTGTGTAGGTACCTGTTGGTCCATGTCCCAGAAACGTTGGTGTTGAGGAGGTGGTGGTGGAGCCGCCTTCCCCAGAATCACGTGTATTCATTCATCAAACACTTGGTAGAGCACTTGCTGTATGCCTGGGTGCCTGAGCAGCACGTGTGGTCCCATAAACTGTACCCCCAGGCTCTCTGCACCCAGGAGCTCCGGTCTGCAGGGAGGAGCCTGCGGAAATATCCCACCCCACTTCCCGCACCTGGGCTGAGGTCAGGGTGCAATGCCAGGGACCCCGCTAAGCCAGCCTGGACCCGTGCAGTACCTGCGGCTGCAAGGGGGTGGGTTGCGGGCTGAAGAAATACGGAGAGGAGATGGGCGTGCTGCTGAGTGTGACTCCCGTGTTCCCTTTCTCGCTTGCTCCGGTCCTGAATCGCGTGGGCTTTGGGGCATTTCCAGATGATGCAAAGCCTGCGTGCTGGAAGGCACCGAGGTCCTGCCTCACCTCGCCTTTGCTGTGCCCTTTCCTGGCGGCTGCGGCTGCGTCATCCACTCTGGTCTCCAGGGTCCCTCAGAGCCTGGCGTGTGCTGGCATCAGTCAGCGGTTGCCAGAGGACGGACAAATGGACAGAGGATAGTGGAGCCGCCATCCCCCTCGCTGTCCAGCCTCAGTCAGCGAGGTCAGAGACACTAA